GCTGCCCTGCGGGAACCCGGTGCCTCCTGACCGAGCGCCGGCCAGCGGCGGGGCTAGTGGGTCCAAGCAGGAGGCAGGAGCCGGGAGGCAGCGCTTCCCAGCTCCCTCCAGCCCTGGTCTCCGTAGGAAGAGCTCCTCGTGACTGTGAAGACACAGGAAAGCAAAACAAAACCCCACAACCTCTTAATTATGGAAAATGTCAAACATGCAGAAAAGAAGTGAACAGAGTAAGCCAGCGCTTCTCACACTCAGTGTGCTCAGGAATCCCCTGGGCATTTTATTTGATTAAAATACGGATCCTGACTCAGTAGGTCCGGGGTGGAGCCGAGAGTCTGCATTTCTAGCCAGCTCCCAGATCTGAGGCTTCTGGACCACATCTGATAGGAGGTTCAATGAACCCCCGTGACCCCGATTCCTCAGCAACCGCAACTCATAATCAATTTTATTTCATCTACATTCCTCCCCCACCATCGTTTTGAGACAAAACCCAGGCGTCATATCATTTTATTCATAAATATTTTTGTATCTCTAAAAGGTAAGGATTTTAAAAACTACATATACACAATACTTTTTTTTTTTTTTTTTTTTTGATTTTTAGTCTCGGTCTGTCGGAGCGCAGTGGCCTGATCTTGGTTCACTGCAACCTCCGCCTCCCGGGTTCATGGAATTCTCTGCCTCCACCTCCCGAGTAGCTAGGATTATAGGTGCCTGCCACCACACCAAGATGGGGTTTCACCATCTTGGCCAGGCTGGTCTTGAACTCCTGACCTCGTGATCCACCCGCCTCGGCCTCCGAAAGTGCTGGGATTACAGGTGTGAGGCACTGCGCCTGGCCCACAATACATTCTTAAACCTAAAATTAACAGCACTAATTCTATAATACCAAATATGCATGCAGGTTCAAATGTGCAGGATTTTTGTTTGTTTGTTTTTGAGATGGAATCTCACTCCAGCACCCAGACTGGAGTGCAGTGGCGCCATCTCAGCTCACTGCAACCTCCGCCTCTGGGGTTCAAGCAATTCTCTTGCCTCAGCAGCCTGAGTAGCTGGGACTACAGGTGCACACCACCACTCATGGCTAATTTGTGCATTTTTAGTAGAGATGAGGTCTCACCATGTTGGCCAGGCAGGTCTTCAATTCCCGACCTCAGGTGATCTGCCCACTTCAGCCTCCCAAAGTGTTTGGATTACAGGCGTGAGCCACTGCACCTGGCCCAAATGTGCAGCTTTGAAGACAGTTTCTGTGGGCTTCCTAAGGCCCTATGAGGACAATGACAAATCGAGGCCCTTGCCACCTGTCTGGTGGCCTGTGCAGCCTGATGGAGATTCTATGCTCAAACCACAAAGGCCTCTGAGGAGCAAGGTGGGGAGGTGGGGGAGGAAATGGCTGCAAGGGCTCTGGATGCCCAGCCTGACTTGTCCACCCCTCTCTGGCCCAGGCATGGGGCTGCGGAAGGGGCGGGGACCACTTGCTTCACTTTGTGAAAAAGAGAAAAGGTGTACTGAACAAGGAAAGAAACTTGCTAGGGGCTTACAGCAAGCCGGGGGTCCACACTAGGGAGTCTGCAGCCCCCAGACTCTGTGCCCCAAACCCTCCCGGGCAGTCCTGCAGCCTCAGGCACAACTTGGAAGACCATTCTGAGGTGAGGGTGGGGTGCCGGCATCACACAATAACGCCCGCCATTATTTCGGTCAGACAATCTGTCTTTTCATTTCTGGCACATGGCAATGTATCAGCAAATGTGTGGAGAATGAATGGAGGAGTCAGCCCATTAGATGTAAAAGAGTCATTTAATAAACACTTGTGTTTGCCATGTGCCAGTCATTAAGTGTTTTATATAACTCACTTAATCCTGGTAAGAGGCCTATGAGTCAGTACTATGATTATCCTCATTTTAGAGATGAGACACCCGAGGTACAGAGAGGCTAAGTAATTTGCCCAAGGTAACACCGCTGGTAAGGGCAGAGCCCGATTCTAGAGTCCCTGCTCTTGGTCGCGAGGCTCTGCAGTGGCCTAGAGTTAAGAGAAATGCTCCTCAAAGGAAATGGCCTTGCCCACATCATAAGGACATGTCTACTGATCCAACCGGGTCTCCCTAGTCCATCCTGCCCTGGGGTATCTGATGTTTTCCCCAGCCTTTTCCCTCCTCCACCCCCTACTCTGACCCTGAGATCCCATGGGAGCCTAAGGAATGGAGTTGCTTGCCTGGGAGTGCTGCAGGAGTTTTGGACCTTTGGGATCGGTGGCACCAGTGCAAGGTACCTTGATTCCGAAGTTGGGGTGAGGTCCAGGAAGCCAGATTTTAGGCCGGACGCAGGCAAAGGAGAGTAAGTAAGCTCAGAGATTCAGGTTTCCTTCTGGTTTGAGGATCCAGTAAGGAAAGGGGCTAGGGTGTGGCACCAGGTCAGGATGGTGCTGCAT